ATTAAGCCGAAGAAATCAGTCTCGAGCTAACATTATTCCCATGGCGATTAAAATTAGCTCAAGCGGAGAATTTAATTCCGAGTGCACGTATTGCCGGGCCGGGCGTAGAGACACTCTCATAAAAGTCGAGAAAAGTCAAGTAACTCGAGGCTTAATTACGAAAGTTGTAAGGGAGTTCACCAGACAAGAGACAACCTGTTGTCTTCAGTTAATGAATACTTATTGCTCGGAATATATCTATGTTAGACGCGCGTCGCGGAGTACGTGTAAAGTTCACGTTGCCAAAGTTCAGCTGAGTCCGTCAAATTAATGATATGTGGACTCATCGGGAACAGTTTTGCAGGGCAAAGAGCGAATCATCGTGAGAATATCGATATTTTCCAATGAATTCTATGGTAAACAATTGATTATTGTGATATACCTCGATATCGATACTTTCCCATGTATTCAAATGACAGATCAATCGATTCAGATCGGAAACGCGACTATGGCGGGGTCGGCTGGCTCGACCCCTGTAGACGCTGGTTTGTGGTCTCAATGACCCGAAATTGTCTAACTCAGATCTTTTAGACACAAAGCTTGACTTTTTATGATCTATTATTCAGCCGTTGCCCTTAAACTTTCTGCTTAATTTAAATTTTGAAAAGTCACTTTCTTTAGGAATCTATAAAAAAAAAATGAATAAGGGAGAACTCAAGTTCCTTTCGATCATGACTTGAGGCCGGATTTATAGTCATTCATTGAGCAATTCTTTCCTTAGTGAGGCCCCATATGATAGCCTAAAACTCGTAGACCAATCAAAAAGAGGCACGACTCTACCGTACTGAAAAGATAGAAATATTCCTTTTCTGTCTGGGTACTATGGAGTGTGCGGGTCATTGGTAAAAACATGACATCCATGCCGGAAAGTTTTAGTCCGTGAAACTCCTCAATTCACACTCGCATGGCTCGGTCTTGGCTCTGGCTGTTGCCTTTGAGCTTTAGCGAAGAGAAGGGAAGGCGTAAACTTGAGACAAGGTCACCGAGCTTTAACTGTCGAGCATTATGCACTTTGGGATGAGCCCCGCCCATTGAGTGGCAAGTTTGGAACCCAAGTTGAGAGATCCACGCCAACATTCATTTACGCTACCCTCGCCATGAAAGAAGGCTGTGCAACAGTCTCAGCGCAACAAGAACTTTGCCCCGTCTTGGTTACTCTCCGCCTTCGGGAGGGTTGTTCTGCGCACCGTGTTGGGATGAAAGTCCGTGCTTGACGGAAAAAAATAGCTAAGTATGCTCGAAAGTAACTTCCAAGCATGGTTATTTCCTTAAGGCATGATGGAGCCAAAAGTTTTGGTCAATTTGTCACGTGCGTATAATGATGCAAATGAGATAAAAAATCGAACTGTATTACTCACTGATGACCTTGAGTCTCAGAATCGATGGCTCAAGTGCAAAACCACGTATCTTTGTTTGCAATGTAGTTGACTCTTTGTCAGACTTTGTTTTCCCTCCGGAAAACAAAGTCAACCTAATTCCTTGAAAACTTCCTTGATATTTCCACACTGTTAGCAGAATATTTTGTATACTTTCAAGCTGTAAAGGCTTGTTTCTCTCCAAAAGAATCATATATAAATGGAAATTATGAAACACGATAAGGATGACAAGTGGTTTCGCAACTTCGACCATCAAAATATTACATACAAAAAGTGGAGTTGAGGGGCTTGGAGGCCAAATTCTAGTTTTTAAGCATCAAAAAGTCAGTTGAAATTTTTTTCCGCCATAAGGATCCATGTAATTTCGAAACTGTAAACACGTTTTTCTCGAAATAGCAAAAACTGCACTTATGCGCCTTTTCCTCCAAGCCCCTCAATTATTAGCTCCCATTTCTAGTGTTTTTGCACACGAGCACAAAAAGTGAAATATTTCGAAAATTTTCGGCTCTCTTTTTCAACTTTGACGGTGGCACATCATTAATATAAACTTCGAAGGATTCTGCCTTTTTCNCATAAGGATCCATGTAATTTCGAAACTGTAAACACGTTTTTCTCGAAATAGCAAAAACTGCACTTATGCGCCTTTTCCTCCAAGCCCCTCAATTATTAGCTCCCATTTCTAGTGTTTTTGCACACGAGCACAAAAAGTGAAATATTTCGAAAATTTTCGGCTCTCTTTTTCAACTTTGACGGTGGCACATTCATTTTTAAAAATCAAGAGCACTGCCATTTTGCCACGTTTTCCCCCTTAATCTCACTAACCACTGATGCAGTTCAACTGTGATCAAATAATCAATATCAAACTCCGTTCTGACGTTACAACAAAAGCGACAATCAAATTGTGAAGGGGGAGGGCAGGAGGCAATGGCGGAGACCCTATGCTGTGGGCGGGAGAAGTTAATTAATTTCAATTATAAAAATAAACAGCTAACACGGCGCGACGAAAACAAGCAGAGAGGGTGGTGTGACGGGGGGTGCGGGGTGGTGCACGCCAAAGAGGGGACATTATGACGGCGAATTTTCGCGGCCGCGGTGGATAAAACTAATTAAAAGTTAAATTGAGAAGTATGTGCTAGAAAAACGCTAATTAAATGGGTCCCGAGATGAGAAATGTTGGTGCTCCTGATACAGGTTATATTCAACACTTATTTTAATTTAAGCCGCGACCCTACTAGTTCCGCCACCCTTGTCCCCTTGATGCGTGTTCTTTTTGGTCCCTTCTTTTGAGGCAGTGTGCCATTGGAAAAAGAGGGGGAAGAACTTGAACAATAAAGTATTTTATTATACCCTCAACAACTCTATAGTTTTTTTTCTAAATAAAAAATATACTTAAATTTCACTGAACAAACTATTCTAAACGTAGAATGACGCATTACGAGTCAAAGGAGCTTTCATAATTTACGTAACGCGCTTTTTCGGCATTTTTGGACCCCCCCCCCTCGCCATTGTAACGCTTTTGTAACGTAGAATCTCATCATTTAACACGTAAAAACGGCACAACGTAACACTTTTCTGGACTCCATCGTCCACCTCAACGTGATATACAAACGGCCTTCAAGTATATTATGACTCATCAATAAAAATTAAGTGAATTACATAATTAATAGCATAATTAAAATGGTAAACAAAATGAAAAGTAAAACCTCAAACTCACTGAACAATTCCTCCTCCTAACATAGAGATGCAGGATACTTATGACGGATAGTGACTGTGGCTTCTTTATATGTTACGTGCATTGTAATCACAAATATGGATAATCCAGAACAAAATTATTAATACTTCTTTATTTATAATTCGTAAGAACATAAAAGAGTGTCAGAAAAAAAGAGTAACAAAAATATTGAATTAAATTTTAAGATGAAATATTATTGTAATTTCCTGTACCGGGGACTGTAAATATGGTAATGGACCACTAGACAAGGTACGAATTTCAGCATTCTGATACATGTTTCTTCACCAAAATTTCACGTATAACACGATGCGCACAACGAATATTACCGAAATCAACTCCTTCCAAAGATATTAATGATTCTTGGTGCGTGAATTCAAACCACCCGCTCATGAAAACTCAATGCTCTACGTGATTCACATTGCTCGCTAAACGTTATCATGAACGTCTCTGCGATAAAAAAATCTCGCAACCTCAATCTTGACACTTTGGCTCAGTTATAGCAAATTACGTATAGTTTGAACAACACATGGTGGGAAATGAACATTGCTCGATTGAGAAGATCGCTGAAACCGTTGTAGTGCGCGATTTGACTCACGTAGAGTTTTGAGTTTCTTGTGAGCGGGCAGTTCAAATTCCTCGTAACCAATGTGAAATAAAAATGTTAATAGCTTCATTAAGAGTTGGTTTCAGTAATTTTCGTTGTTTGAATCGTGTTCTACGTGAAATTCTGGTTAAGAAACATGTATTAGAATACTTAGATTCGTACCTTGTCTAGTGATCCATTATGCTCAATGATCCCCTTAGCAAATTTTGTAAATATGTCATCACTGGCAACGTGTCAAATTTCTTAACTTTTATGTCCCCGACTTGGTAGTTCGCTCTCATCCTCAATGCCGGAAAATTTAGATTTAGAGCATGTGATGATGTGATGGTCACGAGAAAGAAAAAACCCCTTCAATATTAACAGCTGCAACCAGCATACAGGATAGAGAAATGCGGACTGCTTAATGCGGTTTCTCTGAACGACAGGCTTCTTCGCTTCTGTCAACGCAGTTAGACAGCTTTCCTTTCTACAAGACGCCTCTCGTTATTTATTTTTATTTTTTCTTTCTTCTTTTGAAATTGAATTTTATTTCGCTGCAAACATTTTTTAATTTAACATTACAACCAATCTTTACCTTAAAATGAGCATTATTCCATTTACGAGCTGCTCGTAAGTGCCCCCTTTCCTCTCCATTTTCCTCCCAATTTTTTTACGGATCTCTACATTTCCTCCAAGAATATGATTACCTATTCTTTGATACTTTTTTCTCTCTCTCTCCTTCATTGTCCCCTCGTCCTTTTTCCCATCACCTCTCTTCCTCTTCCTTTTTTAATAAGATGCAATATCTTGAGTTAACTCAGCGTGCTAAACCTGATGTAAGGGGACATGGTATAAAATATAATTTTATTTCAGTTTTTTCACGGTAATGCGATTATTAAAAAGAAGGAATTAGTCAAGGTTTTTGATTCCTTCGAGTTTGAATCATTCAGTGCTGAAAATCACTGAGTAGAATATTTGAAAGAATTTTTAAAATAGATATTGCATACTAAATCCAATGTAGTCAGATTTACTCACAATTGAAGTAAAATATTCGACAACATTCATTTTTAATTTATATTTTTCACTTGTAAATAGCGGTCGTTGTTATCTAAAGAGAAGAGCTTCTGCATTAAATTTTAAAATGTTATCATACTTGCGCAACTTCTCCCTCAGAAAAGCACACTTTTCTTTTTTTTCCATACACTTTTCATTTACTGAGCTCTGCTCCGTGAAGAAAAAAGGAAGGATTAAAGTAAATAAATGAATAGAATGAAGTTCGTCTCGGAGAAGACAACTAACCGCAATAATATATTTCAGATATTTTTTTTTTGAGTCAGGAAATCATGAGGTAAAGAGTTAGAATTTCACCGACTTACAATTATTATGCAATAAAAACTAATAAAACGGGTGAAACATATTGTTGAATTTTAACTTACTTTTTACCCCTAGAAACTTACAACTTTTTGTTCTTCTCCTTTTTTTAAATTTGGGATATCTCTCTCTCCTCGATTCAGTTACACTATTTTAGAGTTTTCGAGCCAGAACAGAAACAATTTATTTTAGAGAACTTTGTCCTATGTCCTTCTCTTCGTAATCAAGGCTGTTCCATTTTTTGCGAAAGCCATGAGCTTGCTATGGACTTTTCAATTTTAAATAATTAAGCACATTGAGTTTCTTTGGTTTGAAAATTCTTATATGTGTGAATTTGGCCGAATTTCTCTCTTACTACGAGGAAAGTGTTGTGCAAATAATAGCATGTATATAACAGCTGATATGATTGCACCTGACATCGGACCAACCCAGTAAATCTGAAAAGATCAAAAAATCAATTTTAAGTCAAACCTAAAACGTGGCAAAGGGATTATGAATATATCTTGACACGGATACATTAAAATTGAAGGAAAAATTGTAGTTTTAACTAAACAATAAGCAAGCAATGTAATCCAATCTACCGCACGATGGTGCTTACTATAATCGCCTCCAACTTGTATTCATTAATTAGAGATACACATCACTTTAGCACCGGTTGATTCTCTTAAAACATAAATGAGGCCAAGGCGAAAGAAACCATGGTATTTACCACCGCGGGGGATGACGTCATACGTCATATTTCTTGAAAAGTGACATGGATGGCCAATGTGCGCGACATCGCGTATCTTAATCGCAGTGTGTCAAAAATTTCGCTCCTATTTTATCTTTTGGAGGGAAAACAAGCAAACTTTATAGCTTGAATTTTATGTAGAAAAGTCCGCCAATAGAGAAGAAAAATCCAGGGAGTCTTCAAGAAATTACGGTCTCACTGGCATTTTAAAGAAAAATAAAGTATGATAGGAAGTCTGCAACGTTGTAAACTGTGGTACGTGGTTTCGCAATTTTATCATCGATATTTTCTTCATAATAACTGACTTAATGACTTAGTATTTGAAAAAATTCCATAATTTTTTGCTGATCAAGAATCTTTGATCATTAAAAATTATTCTATGACCAGCGCAACTGATCATATAGCAAGGAAGTAGACCGAATCCTCTAGGCAGAATCCACCAAACAACGGTGGAATTTTCGAACCTCTCATCTCGGTTTGCGGCGTTACAAACATCTAATATTTTTGGGTGGAAAATTGTAGTTTCGTAATAACCTCCACCATTTTTACAGCGATGTAGGTACATCGAATGATCTTCGTTGAAAAAAGAGTTTCGTGTCATAGTGCGACTCATATTTAATATTCCAAAATTATTGGAGATTATTATGCTGCGATTGTATCATTTTTATGTCTCATTATGATACCTATTCAATTCTATTCCGTTATCACTATATATAGAGCGTTTGCATGAAAATTATGACGTGGGGGAAATAACCTTCACAAGCTGTTCCCGAACAATAGAGTGGTTTCCTCGATTTTTTTTCCTCAGCTTACCTCTGCGAACATAGTGTCACCAAAGTGGCGAGGAAAGAGCCATGCACAAATTCGCCCGTTTTTGGGCCCTCGAAATTGGGGTCGGTGTGAGGTTTTTTTTCATCTATAGGGTGACCCTTTACACATAATAAAATTTCAGATTGAGTATACGCACCGTTTTTGAAATATGGGGGGGCAAAGTCCCCGATTTTTACTCATATTTGCAGGTATTTTATAGTCGAACTTCGGCTGCTACAAGGTACCGGATGTAGATATTGAAGCGCGGTTTGCGGTGATTTGTCAAGCTATTTCTGGATTATTTTTTCACATCTTTTACAAACCCGCAAATGGTTTTTCGGGGGGGGGGGAGCTTTATTCATGTTATCATGACCGTTCGTATACGTCTTACTGGCATTAATTGCTTCGTTCTCGACTCCTCTCCACGCCGTAATCATGATGGTATTTTCTGTTAGGAATCTTTCTTCTTCTTTATATTTGACCAATTCTAATGTTGTCTCCCCCTTT